TTAACAGGGGAGCACTTGGCTATCGAAGGTGAGTGAATGTCCCAGACTTTAGGGTCAACTAGGGTAGGGTCAATAGGCCATTGGGGGAAGGGGGGCTGGGACTGGACAGCCTGTGAAAGTAAAAGACAGAGGGAGGATGTCGGAGTGCTGGAGGGATCCGGAAGTGAAAATTGGATGAAGTGCCAATTTTGAATAAAATGTCTCAACCCAGCAGGGGAACAGGACAGGAAGGGAGGACCAAAAAGGAATGTAAAAATGAAAAATTACCAATTGTACACGATAGGAGGGGAGTTTGTAGGGGGCAAAGTGATTGACCTTCTACCCCAACAACAGAGGTCTGAGACAGGGAGGAGGATCCCCAGGACTCTCGTAAAGCACAAAACTTGGCACCAGTGTCGATCAAAAAGGCGATCATCCTACCTGCCATGGTGAAGGTTACTCCGGGCTCATGGGTGGTGACCCGCGTTGGGCCAAACAAGCCAGGGCCTCCTCACAGGTCTTCTGCTGCCAGACTGATAAGGTCGTTTGAGGGAGCGCGGGGGGGAGGGTGAGGCGACCCTACAGTGGGTGGACACCAGGGGGCAGTCGAAACCCCAATGTCCCTTTTGTTTGTATTTGGGGCAGGGCCTCATGGGAGGTTTGGGGTTTGGGCATTCACTAGCCCAGTGGCCTTGTTGATCACATCGGCAGCAGAGTCCCAGAGGGTTGGAGGGTCCCCCATCGGGGCATCCTGGCACGGTGGGATTGATGGCCTGTGCCAACAATTGGTATTTTTGTTTGGCTCTTATCTCAGCCATTATAGGCTTTAAACACAATTGTGAGAGTTTCTGCCTGGGGAGTAAGGGGATGCTCTAATATATATATACAGAGAGAGAGAGAGAGAGAGAGAGATATGTATGTGTATATAAAACCGAAAAAAAAATAAAAAATCTAAAACTCACTGCCACTAAGTTGATTCTGACTCATAGAGATCCCCATTGGGTTTCCAAGCCTATAAATCTTTATGGAAGGAGACTTCCTCATCTTTTGCCCACAGAGCAGATGGTGGGTTTGAACAATAATTTAGAATAAAGTTAGTTATCACAGAGTACCTTAGCAGAGATCAAGTCAAATTCTATGTCTTTGAAGACCTACTTAACCCTTATCTGTCTGGCTTATCCAGGAAAACAAAAGTACTTTAAAAAAAAAAAAAAGCAAAGTAATATAATCATAAGGTAATATTATAGTTGAGGCATTAGCACCATCGATATCATCATTCTTGATTCATCAGTTTAGGAGAGTATTTTGTTCATAGATGTAAAAGAGTATGATCTTTATCTCATATGAATCTGAATTGGTGCAGATAATAAAAAAATGATTCATTAGATACATGCATAGGTGTGGTTACAAAAACTCAGTGTGGGGTAAGAAAAGCAGAGAATTAAAGGGAGAGAGAAAGGAAAAAAATCATATACAAGGGTGAAGAGAAAGTTATGGAAGAAAAATTAATAAACTTCATTTGGTTTAACATAATTATTCCTTTTCTAAGGCTTTAAAATAGCACATGACCTTTTTCCTGAGGCACTTAAGACTTAGCAGCACATGAATGATTTTCATGGCCTTATAAATTTCCAGGAGATTTTAATTCTCTAAGACACAACAGAATCCCAATGGATATTCATTTTTATATGCTATTGGGAGTGGGCATGTGAGCTACTTCATGGAAGGGAGAATTAAACCCTCCAGCAATCTCTCCTAAAATTGTGTGGTTGATAGAATAGAAAAGCATGAACAAGTACTGGAATAAAAATGTGAAAATACTGCTCTCCAGATATATTTAAGGAAGATAAAATCTAATCATACAAGAGCTTCTGGAAGATCATCTATATCATGATTTTAATAAAGCTTCTCTCTGAGAGGTGGGATTTCAGTTGTTTTTATAAGATGTGGTTTAGTAGTGGTCAAGAGCACAGATTCTAGAACAAATTTGATCTGGGTTCCAGTCCTAGCATTTGCAACCCTGGTTAACCACCAAGACTCTGAGCTGAGTTATACAATTCCCAAAGGCATGCTTCTCATTGTATTCAATATAAGTGGCACTTGGTAGAATGGTGCAATGTTTCAGCCCTGATAAATCTTAAAAAATAAAACCTATTGCCTTCAAGTTGATTCTGACTCATAGCTACTCTACAGGGTAGAGCAGAACTACCACGCAGAGTTTTGAAGGCTGTAAATCTTTATGGAAACAGACTGCCACCATCTTTCTTCCAAATAGCGGCTGGTTTGGAACTTCTTACTTTCTGATTAGCACCCAAGCTCTTAACCACTGTGCCACTAGGGCTCCTTACTATATATCTACCACACAAGAATTTTATGAAAATTACATAAAATAATGGGGATCTGTGGTGTCATAGTGACTAAGGCATTTGACTGCTAACCAGAAAGCTGGCAGCTCAAACCCACCAGCTACTCCTCAGAAGGAAGATTGGGTAATCTACTTCTGCCCAGATACTGCCTCGGAAAACCCAAGGAGGGGTTCCTATGAGTCAGATCCTACTCGATGGCAGTTTGTTTTTTTTGTTTTGGTTTAGTGTTTACATTTGTCTAGTTGGCTTGCAGAACTTGAAAAATAAATTTCTCCATAATAATCACACATTGTTTTCGTAATATGAATTAAAAACAACAAAGAACTACAAAAAAAATGGGTATAGAGAGTTTAACTACCTTCTACAATATGTAGAGAAAGGTAGGGAGGCACTTCTATTAGGAATAACTAAACTTTTTCACATAATTATAGTTAACCATTCCTATACAGATTTTACATTCTTTAAACAGAAACAGTAAGAATAGGTCTGATTTGGTCTATTAGTACTATCTGTGTGGGGTTTACTAAGTCCCTGGGCAGAAACAACAGTTAATATTCTTGGCTGTTAAAAAGGTTAGAGGTTTGAGTCCCAGAGATGCTTCATAAGAAAGGCTTAGTGATCTACTTCTCAAAAGTAAGACATTGAAAACTCCATGGAGCACACTTCTCTGACATACATGGGGTCTCCATGAGTCAGAATCAACTCAAAAGCAACTAGTTAAGTGTTGGGTTTATTTTTAAGGTGGAGTGCAGCATATTGCATATCTGCATTCATATCACACTGGAAAAGACCTATGTAAACTGAATATTAACTAGAGAAATGTTTTTTCTAGTCATAATGGACCGTTTATATTTAAAAAGAAATATTTTAGAACATGGTGGATTAAAGATAGCCACACATTCTTTGATAATCCTCCCAATGAAAGGTGAAGGTTAATTCCTTTACCTTAATCCTGGACTGACTTGAGTGGTTTGCTTCACCAGTAGAATGTTACAGAAGTAACATTCTGAGACTTCCAAGGCTAGACCACAAAAAGCCTTGCAGCTTCTGCTCCAGCCTTTTGGAATACACAATCTAGGGAAAGTGGCTGCCATGAAAAATCTCTAACTACCTGGGACCAACCATACTGTGATGAAACTCAACCACATGCACAGGCCATATCAAGAGAAAAAGGGAGCCCAACCCAGATATTTTGGACATCCTAGATCAGGCACCTGACAAGAACAAAGAACACATTCTAGCCCAAGCAGACATGACATGGTAAGAAGTGAGGAATCCAGTTGACAACTAACAATGGAACTGGAGCCTGAGACATGTCCCTGTTGAACTCTCCAGTTATCTCTTGTAATTTATGCCAACCCAGGTGAGGTGTGTTCATTACCAAGAAGAAACAAGCCATTCTCACTGTACCCTGCTCTAATTCCTAACCACAAAACATGCTGGTTTATGCTTCTAAATTCTAAGGAGGTTTACTATGTAGCAATAACCAGAAAGACCTATTGTTTATAAACAAGATGAACTTCAGGTAGATTTATTGCTAATCTATTTAGCTGCCTTTCTTTCCAGTAAGGATACATTTTTAAGTCAGTCATTTACCAAAATTGGGCTGAGTCTTGCATGAGAGTCTAAAATCAGAGCTACTTGCTGTATGTAAATAGACCAGTTTGAAAGCGGAGCCCTAACTCAATTACAAAGTCTTGATATGAGTCTAGAATCCATGTAGTTGTGTTTTCTAACAGCAGTTCCTCTTATTTTGATGTTTATTTACCTAACCACATACCCTAAAGGAGGAGGTCTGGTAGCACAGTGTCTAAGGCATTTGACTGCTAACCAGACACCTGGAGGTTCAAACCTACAATCCACTCTTTGAAGGAAGGCTGGGCAATCTACTTCCATAGTGATACTGCCTCAGAAATCCAAGGAGGGGTCACTATGAGTTGGGTCTGACTCAATGGCATATAACAATAACAACAACATACCCTAAAGGACACATTCTTTTTTCTGAGCCCTTGCAGGTGCAAGATAACAGAGGTACAAAATAATCTACCCCAAAGTATCTTTTCTACTATGGTCAAACAGATGCAAGATGTAATAGCTTATGCTGAAGGGTCTTGATGCACAGCATTATTGATTAATCTTTAAAATGGACCCCCAGAAATTACATGATTGAGAAAGCAATTAAATAGCAGGTTACCAGAAAAACCTGTCCTACCATAGTCTTGTAACCATCCTGTAGTATACTGTGGAGCATATACCCTTAACGAATCATATAATCTTACTTGTGTGTTATCCACTTATCCCTGTTAAATCCCCACTTTTACATATCCCAACTTTGTCTCTCCTGATTGTCAGCCAATTATGATTTTGTAACTTCTAGTTCCTGCTCCAACTGTAAAATAAAATTTTTCTTCCTCATCGTCTGATTGAGCAACCATCTTCATTCTGTAAATCTAGATAACTTCCTAGTCCAGACTTTTTCTGGACTTTTAATATATCTCTTAATTTTACTTCTATAGAGTATGTGTTTTCATTCCATTAAAGTATAAAATTACAAGAGCTTCCTTCATGAATGACTAAAGCAAAAGCAGCAAACTAATATTAAAAGATGAAATACATTAATTTTTTTAAAATGTCAAATCTTTGATATATTCTTACCAAAGCAAATTCATGAGATATCCTTCCATCTGGAGGCAATTTTGCACCAAAACCTAGAGCTGGAAACATTTTATCACTATCATAATCTTGAACAATTTCTCCCACGGCCTTCAGTGCCATACCATAGGCATTCAGTTGGTAAGGATTCATGTAGTGGAGAGAAGTGGGCTGGGCAGGATTACCTGATAACAGAGAAAATATTTCAGACACAAGTGACAGGCTGAAGAACATTTTTGTATTTTTTTAAATTGTGATTTGAGTGAAAGTTTACAGAGCAAATTCATTTTCCATACAACAGATCATACCCATTGTTTCATAATATTGATTGTAATCTCCATAATGTAACAGCTCTCTTTGCACTTCCTCCCTATGGTTAGCTTTTCCCTGTGTCTTTCTCTCCTATGCATTCCTCCATAGGAAATGTATGATTGTTCCAAGGAGCGTACCTACATGGTATAAATGTTCACCTTATACACTTGTCTATTGTTTGGCTGGAAGCCATAGGAGTAAGTTGAATTCCAGGTCTGAAGGGTGACCAGGGTCCATAGTCTCAGGGGTTTCACCAGTCTCGATCAGACCAGTAAGCCTGGTCTTTTCTATGATTTCAAGTTTTGTTCCACATTTTTTCTCACTCTAACCAGGAACTCCTATTTTGATCCCTCTCCAAGTAGTTGACAGTGGTAGCCAGGCACCATCTAGTTCTGGTCTCAGGGTCATGTAGGATGAGGTTCACATGACCCACTAGTCCCTTGGACTAATTGTTTCCATGTTTCCTTGGTTTTCTTCATTCTTCTTTGCTCTGGAGAGACCAATTGTTGCATCTTAGATGGCTGCTTGCAAGCTTTTAAGGCCCCAATCATTACTCACCAAAATAGGATGTAGAACAACATTTTTGTGTGGTATATTATGCCAGTTGAGCTTCATGTCCCCCACAACCATGGTCCTGAGCCCATGGGCCCAATAGCTCACTTCCTCAGGGTGGTTAGTTAACTAAGAAGTTATCGTAACTTTGCCCCCTCTCTATTATATATACGGACATTCTTATAGCACTGTAAATATGTATGTAGAAATATTGTCTGCCATACTTATATATGGTCACAGGTATATCCCCTTTTGCCTAGACATACCTGATCGTTCAGCCTGTTTACCTATGTATTCACCCATAGATTAATGCCATAATGCTATGGCTATGTCTGAGTTTCAGTTCTAGAAAAAAATATTTTTGTCAATCTTATTTCATTGTAATCTTTATTTAAAAAAAAAAAAAAAAAATATATGTCTAGCTTAAATACTTATGTCTATGGTTTCCGAGGCAGTATCACTACAGAAGTACATTGCCCAATCTTCCTTCCAAGGAGTGGGTGGTGGGTTTGAACTGCCAGCCTTCTGCTTAGCAGTCAAATGCCTTAAGCACTACGCCACCAGAATTCCCGACTGAGTCAATGGGATTCAATAATTACAAGGCCTTCTTAAAGTTGTATCACAAAAATAGAATATTTTAGGAATATCCTAATTTACCACTTTAAAAAAGGAGACCAGAGAGATGTTTAAATTCAAGCTGTCTAAATATCTAGACCTGTAAATTATCTAGAGTTACTGACTAAACATTCAGGAGCCAGAAGGCCCAAAGTTGAGTTCTTCCATTGGAGGGCAAAAATCTATAAATGACTGTGATAAATCCTACTATTATATCTACTGGGAGGACAAAACGAGATTACGTGTTATGAAAGTGATTACAAATAAAGCACCATACAAATGAAAGTTTTTACTACTACTGTTAGTATTGCTCTGGTGGCACAGTGCCTAAGGCATCTGACTGCTAACCAGAAGGCTGGTGGTTCAAACCCACCATTTACTCCCCAGACAGAAGGTTGGGCAATCTATTCCGTAATGATACCACCTTGGAAACCCAAGGAGGGGTCACTATGAGTGGGATCCGACTCCACTGCAGTGAGTTTGTTTTCTTTCTTTGTTCTTGTAATTATTGCTTGGGTCATCCACAACGTTCTGAATTTCCAATATGCTTAAATTGTGTAGGATATTGCACTTGAATAGAGATGAATTTGAGAGAGAAAGTGACACATATGCTACCACTCAAAAATACTGAGATCTACATTGAGTTGTTATAATTATCAGCACAAAGGCAGCCTGAAAGTCCATTTAGTTTCTTAAGTGAAAATGGAAGGTTAAATGGGACCTGTAATAGCACATCAAGCTCAATTCTACATTAAAACATTGCCTGAAGAAGGAAAGCCTCAGGGCATAGTTCTTTTCTGATAAGGAAAATAATAATAAGGACTTGAGATCCAGAGAAAACAAAAATAAATGAGAGATCTCCCTTGGTTTATAATACATATAATTATACACAGAACATTTTTGCCTAAAAATAATTTATTGTTCAAATGCACTTATATTTCCAAAGGGTTACCAGCATTCAAGGGCTGGTTCCACATGACAAAATGTTTAAAATTTGTCTTCCTCCTAAAGTAGGGACTTTGCCACTTGGTCAAAAGCTCACTGGAAATACAAATAAGCAATATGATTACTGGACTAAATGTTTACTTAACGTAACTCTCAAATATAAGAAGAGCTGTCACCTAAGGATGCTGATATAGAAACTAATTCTATTTCAGTAAGAAAACTGTAATGTAAAATTAAAGCAAAAACAAACAAACAAAATAAAAAAAGCATTAATATCCCTGTGTATCTAAAACTTTAGTCTATCATGTATAGCAGGGCCAGATACAGCTAATCCAAAGATGTTGCCTATCTCTTTCCAGCACCTTCAACCATGCTAATCTCTTTGTTGTTGTTGTTGTTATGTGCCGTGGAGTCAGCCCGACTCATAGCGACCCCTCCTTGGGTTTTCCGAGGCAGTATCACTACAGATGTAGGATTGCCCAACCTTCCTTCTGAGGAGTGGCTGGTCTCTTTACTGTACCAATAATAACACTTTCCTACTCATGCCTGTCTCTCAAGTTGCTCCCCTGTCCTGAAATTCATTTTCTTCTCCTCCTCTTATGCCGTTTACCAGATAGCCTTCCTTGTCTATCTCAGCCCTCTTTGTTTCTTCTCTCCTATCTTTACATGCTCTGGACCATAAAATTTGACAATTAAAAAAACTGCCAAATTGATTGTCAGTTCCTTGAGTTCTGGGACCATGTCTGGGCTGTCTTTGTACTTTTGCAATAATGCTTATGGAAAATGAACTTGTAGTAGATTGAAAGCATTGGGCCCAACTAATAACAATACTCTGGTAGCATAGTGCCTAAGGCACTTGACTGCTAACCAGAAGGCTGGCGGTTCAAATCCACCATCCACTCCTCGGAAGGAAGGTTGGGCAATCCTACTTCCGTAGTGATACTGCCTCGGAAACCCAAGGAGGGGTCGCTATGAGTCAGGGCCGATTCGACGGCAAATAACAACAACAATAACAATAACAATACTAATTATAATAATAGCATGGTATCTAATCTGTATTGAATACTTTACTGGGTATTTCATTTCAACTTCTCAACAAACCTAACACATAGGTACTTACATCCATTTTAAAAAAATAAGAGGTTGATATTTAGAGAGTTTAAATAACTTGCTGCAAATTACAAATTAATAACTGATAATATCAGAATATGAATCTAGGCAATCAGACACACCATTCTTTCCCAACCCATCTGGCAAGAGGAAAAGAAATTGTCTTCTAGAAAGTTGTTACATCTTTATGCTTTGTTGTGATTTCACAAAATATAAACTCCCAATTTAATTAGTCAAAAGTGACTTGATAAATCACCCTGTGCTAGTCCATGAACTTTGTGTAAATATATATGGTATAATAAGTGATAAATTCAAATTTACTCAGACAAATTAAAGTAAATATTGGAACAACAGCTGTGTTTCATGAGTTATACTGGGGAGGCAACTTGAAAAAACTAAAATCAGACTCATATCTGATTTTGTGTTAGAGATGCTTTTGGAAGAAGATCTTACATCAATAAATTATTCTGACTGCTTTATTGAGATGTAATTTATATACCATACAAATTCCTCATTTAAAATGTATACAATTCAATGGTTTTTAGTATATACACAGATCTGTGCAACCATTACTACAATGAATTTTAGAACATGTTGATCACCTCAAAATGAAACATCATACCCATTAGCTATTTGCACTCTTAACTCCATTTACCCTACCCTAAGTGACCACTAATCTGCTTTCTGCTTCTAGAGATTTTCCTATTCTGAATATTTCATATAAATACCAAAACCAAACCTGTTACTGTCAGGTCAATTCTTGCTTACAATGATCCTATAAAATAGGGTAGAACCATCTCCTAGGATTTCCAAGGTTGTAATCTTTATGGAAGCTGACTGCCCACAGAGTAGCTGGTGAGTGTGAACTGCTGACCTTTCAGTTAGTAGCCAAGTGCTTAACCACTGTGCAACCAAGATTCTTCAAATAGTATGTGGGCTTTTGGGACTAGGTTTTTTGACTTAGTATAATAATCTCAAAGTTCAACATGTTGTGGCATGTATTAATACCTTACTCCTATTTTGGTCAAATATTATTCCATGTTTGATTATATAATAATTTATCAATTCATCAGTTAATGGACATTGGGGTTATTTTGCTATTATGAATAATTCTATTATAAACATTCAGGTAAAAATTTTTCTGCAGATATATATTTTCATTTTTCTTAGGTACAATATACCTAGAAGGAGCTCTGGTGGTACAGTGGTTAAGGGATCCAGCTGCTAATGAAAAGTTTGATGGTTCAAACCCATCAGCTGCTCCACAGAAGAAAGATAAGGCAGCCTGCTTCTGTAAAGATTTATAGCCTTGGAAACCCAATGGGGATCACTGTCAGTAGAAAGTGACTCAATGGTAGTGAGTTTGGTTATTTATCTATTTAAATATACCTAGGAGTGGAATTGCTGGGTCCTATGGTAACTCTATTTTTAACAGTTATAGAAACTGCTGAATTGTTTTCCAAAAGTGGGTTCAAGATTTTACACTCCTACCAGCAATGTTTAAGCATAGGTACTGAAACAAGGCGGGCTTGTGCTTACTCACTGATCTGCACTGAACACGTTCCCTTGTTAACCTACCGAGAGGGACCAGGTCTTCGGGAGCAAGGTAAGCAC